GTCTTCCTGGAAAAGGGTCAGATTCAATTTGGTTTAAGTACTGGGCAGAGGTTCAGTAAGACTGCATCCGAAACAGCAGTTTTCCTGAGAAGAGAGAATCATGTTCAGAAGAAAAATAAAGTAGAATAAACAGTTGAAGAAACCTAAAGCCTCTTCCTACTCCCACCTCAATGAAATATCAGCAAGTGATTAGATTATATTTCTCCTATTCATTTTCTTTAATATAAGAAAGGGACACACATAGTTTAACTCCCAGCAGTAATTCAGATTAGTCTGGAAAATACAGTTCTCTACTGGACTGTATTTACATTCAACCTATTAGATAAATGTTCAGCCAAAGGCTTCTCTCACTTACACAAAGAAACCTACCAGATATAGCACAGTTTGGTTGGGGTATGAGGGCAGAATTTGTTCCAGTCTCCTCTATATGACCAGTATTTTTGGTATGCTCCTCACAAAGATCTATTTTACCACCTTTGTGCCAAAATATTCTCAGGATTAAGCAATTTTCACCCCTTCCCTCTCCAAATTTGGGACTCTCATCATGGCATTTTGGCTTTGGTACAGGTGTTGAAAACTAGATTAGATGAAGGGGGGAAAAATAACTTGATAGCATGATGCAGATTGGCATGAAGACTGCATTGGCACTAGCGTGAGATAGTCAGGTTACTCAAGAGTAGTAAAGCTTCAAGAAATTATTCAGGTCATCCCAATACCTCCTCACTGTAGCAATTCTTGTAACAGGTCCAAAATATACTGTAATGCTCATTTACAATGATGAAAGTAATTTTTCTCAGTATGGATAAATCAATACCAAATGCATAGTAACATTATTTAAGGAGATAGCACTGCTTTAAATAAAATCTTTGTTTCTTGAATGTTTTTGTTTTAAATCTATAGCGTGGAACAATATTTCACTAAACTTATTTTGCTGAAGTATCTTTAAAAGTACTTTAGGACAAAAAAAATTAGTTTAGATACCTGTATAGGGTCTCTGCCTCTCTTGCTCTTCCATTATATATGTTTACTAAAAATATATCTTTTCAAATGGCCTCCCAAAGCAATCTCTAAAGAAAGCAGTAATTTAGTAAGTGGAAGGCATTATGAAAATAACTAAAATCGAAGTCTTGTTTTAAACACAGACATTGGACCAGCAAGACAACCCTCTGAAGGGATGAACTGCAAATTTGAGGGGCACAGCACTGGAGGCAGACCCACCAAAGGAATTCCTTCTTAAACCTGGTGTTGACAGGATAACAGCAGTGCTGGCTCTTACAAGAGCGAGCCAGCATATAACTCAATACGCAAGCTGTGACATACATTAGCTAAAATTAAAGAAAATATTAGTTGAAGCAAGGTGATGGATTCCCAGTTGACAACAGGATTAGAAGTAAGAATGTAAATTCAAATGTGGGATGACACCTCCCATCACTAAGATCAGTCACAGTGTTTGTGGCTTCTGCCATTTAGTGACCAACATCAAACAACAAATAACAAATTGCTATTTGTACCAAAGAAAATGGAAAAACAACAAAAACTTTATGTGATTGCATATACACGTAGGGGGATTTCTCCCTTACTAACATTTCATTATAGATGATCACCAGAATTGAGGAGTTCAGTGCAATTTTATATTTCCTGCACATTTTTACATGACCTAAAAAAGGGAAAGAAGGGAATGCTCCAGAGTCATGCATAGCTCTAACAGCGGCTTCTCCACAACTCAAAATAATTCGTAGTTCAAAATAATTTATGGTATTCAAATCTCACCTTCTCTTATGGAAAGCTCTGCCTATTGAAGTTATAACATAGGGAAAGAAAAAAATTGCATATGGCATATGCTTTGCAACTGTCAGAAGTCAGTTACCAGAGATAATAAGAAGGTCAGGCACTTCTCTGGGTCTGAAAGCACGATGTGAGAAGGACCTGCATTGTTCATTTGAGTGTTATAAGAATAATAGTTGCAATGAGGTGTACCTCAAGCTGATGCAGAAACCTCCTCTGAACTAGAAGAAGTTGCAAAATTGGCACTTCAAACAGCAGTTCTGGCTTCCAATGAGCTTTAGCTCCTTTGAAATGGGGCTGTGGGCCCATCACATTTCCCAGACAGCCTGCATGCAGATGCTTCTTTGTACTTGCAACTTCTTCTGATACTGCTTTCATAAAAAATCCACTTTATGCAAAAATCAGTGTAGAATTTAAGACTGGCAAAGATCGGCTTATTAAAACTTCTCACAATTTTTACTAAAGGAGTTAAAAATATAGTGATGGAGTGATGGATTTTTACAGAGGAGAGGAGAGGAGAGGAGAGGAGAGGAGAGGAGAGGAGAAGCTCATTCTTGAAAGTTAAAGAAGGTTCAGCAAATTTTCAGTCTGAACTGAAAATTCTCTACTTTCATCAAAAGACAAACATAACAACAATTTTTTTTTTGTATTCTAAGTATAAAACTGTCATCTCCTTTTAGAATGTATTTGGCTTGCTCTGAACTTTCTTTATGGTCATATGAAATAGCAGCAGTTTTATTTTTGTTATCTGCTAAATCTATTAACTTAAAATATCCTTCTGTAACACTCTTCTAATGCATCTAAAATGAATATATTGTAAAGGAACTGTAGCCAAAAACCATATAACCTCTCTTGTACATTAAATTTTAATCTGGCTCTGGAATCAAGTCCTCAGAATATGAAAATGCATTCTGACCTTTTGTATATAAGATATGCATATGATTCACACTTGATAAATGAGTTTTTAAACTGGATGGCTTTTTAGGAGGAAACTATTAATTATACTACAAGCCCAATTGTTTTCATCTTCTTATCTTGCACATTTTATTTTTAAAAACTACACTTTTTTCATTAAATAACAGTTTGTAACAGTTTTATAAACTTTAAGGAAATCTTTCCCAATAGTTCCTATAGGTATTGATTTCTTAGTCTAATCTTGTATTCTCAAACTGTTCTTAGGAAAGGAAGCACGCTACGGTTAATCCTTCATTCACATCAACAAAAATCATTTTAAATTTATACCAAACAAGATTGTGACTTTAAAAGATTTTAAGCATGGGTAATAACCACTTTTCCTGTTGCTACTAATTTAAATATAAACCAGGAACTGTGAGATATATGTCACGCACTGATCAGGTATATAATGAACAGGGGCACCATGCAATATTTATAGGTATTCTTCATGCAAAATTTAATGGGATTTTTCTTGTGTAACTCTAACAACAGATAATTTTAGCTGAATTTTAACAAGTTGTTATGGTGAGACTTCTCCTGCTCAGTACCACCAAAGGGACTAGATAAATAATAGATACTAAAGATATTAATTATAAAAATAGATATTTTATATCTATTCTTCAAGATTTGCCCTGAAAAGAGAGCTTTCTTTGGCTCTTTCATCATTGAAGGTCTATTTTGTTCCAAAATCTTTATAAATTCTTAATTTCTGTTTGATATTTTAAATACGCCTCCATATTAGAGATATGACCAAAATACAATGAAATATCTTATTATGCACCATAAACCTATCTCTAATACCAGCTATAGTTTGAAAATTTGGTAGCGAAAAGGAAATTATTTTTGCTTCTATTTTTCATCAACATATATAACTATGCCTCTACTGCCTCCATAATTAAACATACAATATTACTCATTCTAAAAGCAAAAAATGCTCATATTTCAATAGATAGGTTACTGTTAAAAATATTTCTTTTATTTCAATTTTGGTTTGTTTTTTTTTTTTTCCAAAAAGACTAAATAAAAAACAAGTAAAATAACTTTTGTGCTTTCAAAATGTCTGGATTGTTTTTCTCAGACATCAACAGATCTGGCTGAAGACTAGAATACTAAATCAACTCATTTTCTCTGTAGTTATTTACACATTCATCTGCACATGTATGCAGTCATATGCCATAAATACATCAGTCAATCCTAAAGAAATCTAAGAACAAGAAGAAAATATGGTACATGATTTTTTGTTTTGTTCTTTTGCCATAAACAAGATTTCAGAGAGACAACAGTTGTGCCAAATGCTAAAGCTGTTCACTGTCAATGGTTTATGGAAGTTTGTAATATAAAACACATTCTTCAGGATTTCAGCTCAATTTTTTTTCCCTGATTTAATATTAATATTTCATAAATATGGCTGATAAGATGCTGAACAACATTATTTCCATCTTAAACCTACTTCTTTCTCCCACAGTATAATAATGATGTCATTTAACCCACTTGAGTCAAAAATAAATCATGCTATAAATATAGCAGACTGTTAAATGTAAATCTAAAGAATCCTTTGAACTATTTCTTTAAAGATTTTCCACCTTGTAGTGGTTCCATGACAGTCCATTTGACGGGCAATACAGAGGAAGATCATCAGTCTGAAAAAAAATGAAAATTTACAATTAGATCCCAAATATGCCTTCCTCTCTAGATCCCAGGTATATCCTCCTCTCTGTTCCTCTCAGTTATTAAGAATACCAAGTCAAGAGAGGTGATGACACTGATGAAATTGTGCCTTTATATTTATTTATATTTATTCTTATTTTCATATTTATTTTTATGTGTATGTGCATTTGTATGTGTATACTATATACACATATATAAACACATTATATATATAAAGACATATATATATGGAATATAGGTGTCAGAGCATTTACATGAGAAGCAGGACACTTGGATTCACTCAGACTGGTTGGTTGAAGATACGGTAGTCTTTGAATCCCACCTCACTTCTGAGTCCTCCATTTCAGTTCCTGGTCAAAGGATTATTTTACGTTTGACAACAAATGGTGAATGCAGAAAACATAGAGATAAGCCCTGTAACCCGGTTATTAGGGTACTTTGCTGCTGCTTGAAGCCAAATTCCTCAGGCTAAGGAAAACTATAACTTCTTTGTCCCATTTCATAGAATCATAGAATCATAGAATCGTCTAGGTTGGAAGAGACCCTTGGGATCATCGAGTCCAACCATCTACCCTACTCTACAAAGTCATCCCCTACACCATGTCCCTTAGCACTGCATCTAAACGGCCCTTAAACACAGCCAGGGATGGTGACTCCACCCCCTCCCTGGGCAGCCTGTTCCAATGCCCTATCACTCTTTCGGTGAAAAATTCTTTCCTAATGTTCAGTCTAAACCTACCCTGTTGGAGCTTGAAGCCATTCCCTCTTGATCTGTCACTAATTACCTGTGAGAAGAGACTAGCCCCAACCTCTCTACAGTGTCCTTTCACGTAGTTGTAGAGAGTGATAAGGTCTCCCCTCAGCCTCCTCTTCCTCATACTAAACAGTCCTAGCTCCCTCAGCCGCTCCTCATACGATTTGTTTTCCAGGCCCTTCACCAGCTTCGTTGCCCTCCTCTGCACTCGCTCCAGCACCTCGATATCTCTCTTGTATTGAGGTGCCCAAAACTGGACACAATACTCAAGGTGTGGCCTCACCAGTGCTGAGTACAGGGGCACAATCACCTCCCTAATCACTTCCTAGGGAAGTATTCAAACAACAGGTAAGAAGGAAGCCGTCCTGACTCCCCTCTGGGTGCAAAAATATCTTCATCAGCACAGCCTTCTTACTGCCATACAGGCTGGAGCTTGCTGCTTACATGCAGGAGCTTGTTGCTCAGGGGCTGTGCAAAATGCTCCACAAGGTGAGCACAGACCCCATGGAGAGGGGTGAGCTCCCATCTTAGGCATCTTTGGAGACCTTCAGACATAGTCACTTATCCCAGTGGGACTATCTAAACAGCATTTGTGGGAACAGATATTTAGTTTTAAAACTGGACCAAAGGCAGTTTGAGTGTCTGATGAAAATACCTTATGGGACCTCACGGAACCACAAGATCTGTTTCTGACATCTTTTTCCTGCTCCTGTTTATCCCTAGTTATTATATGGCAAGATTTTATACATAAATGTAAGATTGCAATTTTCACTCTGGAGAACAGGGCTCTAGAAAGTAAATGCTCTAGATTAGCATTTATATCTCTATCAGATTTAACCCAATGCCTGTAAGGGCCCGTGCACTGTGGAGCACAGCCCTGCAGCTGTGCTCTCCTGGCAAAAGCCTCTGATTCATGCTCCATATCTTCATGTTAGGGTCCAGATTAGCCCATGACACTTGAATATTTGTTTCTGCACAAATCTACTCTAATACACTCCTGCTTCTGATTTTTTCATTCTAAAGACAAAAAATAACAACTTTTTAAAAAGAATTGTTATATATTATCCCTGTTACTTTAACTCCTCACTCCCAAATATTGCACTTGCTTTTGCATTTTTGTTACTTTTTTATAAATGATGACAGATCTCAGGACTTCCTCATCGTAATTATTTGAATATATTCCATCCATATGGCTGCCGTTCAATTGTGACATTCATTTTGCAAATGAATAGTGCATATGGTGCCATTTTTCTGTATCTAAACAGACATTCTGTTCAGTATGCAACTGAATACTGCATACAAAGTTATTTTCACTTAGATCAATTACTCTAGAATTACCTACTTTTCCAGGTATTACAACAGACTATCTTTACTAGCCAATGACAAACTCTTGGGATTTTTGCAACAACAAGTTTTCATCAGCACTACTGATTTTTGCACTGTGCTTCAGATTTTGTTTCCCCGTGTCACGAAAACCAAGTGGTTAATTGCCTTTCTCTTCTGGAGATAACATATGCTGCTAGTACTGCTAGCAGAAGATAATTTTTTATTCATACCAATAATTCTAACCCTTCAGATTCAAACTGATTAAAAGATTTGGCATAAATATTTAAATCTACTGGGGAAATATTTATATCTTCTAACTCTAGTTACTCATCTGAGTATCTAAGCTACCTTGACAATAATGTAACTCCTCGTTTCTGTGCTCTAACTCGCCTGCCCAGGAAGCCTATCATTTTCTGTTGACCATATAGGAAGCCTGGAGTTTTTTCTGAGGTGGCTCAAAGAACACTTGAAATAGCCCATGTATTTGCTGCTGACTTAGTACACTTGTGTTTGTACCTCAGTCTCTTAGCACTTCTTAAATGTGCTAGATCTGCAACAGTCTGGTAAAACAGACATCTTTTCCAATATCTGAACTAGCAGAGAATATTGGAATGCTAAAAGTTCATGACCAGCTGGACACTTCACTATCACATTGTAATAGCTACATAAACAGAAAAAGTAAAAGCCAGCTAGATTTGTTGCTGCTGTAAATCAGAATTGCTCCACTGATTTCAATAAAGTGTCACCCAGTTATCTGAGTCAACAAAATTAAAAACATTCATAAAGAATATCTACATCTAGAGTGCACTTTCTTTGGGGACTGATCTCACGTAGTCAGAACAAACTCATTAGTCAAAATAAATTGGAAGTCCTTTTTTCCATGAATAAAGTACAACAGGATAAAGGGTCACATGCCCAAAATGCCCAATTTTATTTACCTCAAAATAACAAATTATACAGCATTTTTATTCCTGAATATCAAAGAAAAGACAATGTTTGTGTCCTGTACACTATACTACAACTTTTTCAGTAGCTGTGGAAGTACAATAGTTGATCTTTCTGTACAGTTTAAAATGAATCTTGAGACCTGGTTCAATCTCATCTAACTTTAATCATTGTATGGAGGTTTTCTTCAGGAATGGTAAGTGATCAAGATCCTAACTTAGACAATTCAGGTCAGTTCTGAAAGCCAAGCGAGATTAGCCCATTTTTAAGAGACAGAGATCTAGAATAGCCTTTTTGGAAGCAGAGTTTAGTCAAAACCTCCAAAACTCAGCAAAAAAGACAACTGAGAAGATCTATGACTAGACATAACATAAAATCACAAATAACAAGGAGGTCACGAATACTTACTAGGCCTCATATTAGGAGAATAAAGAAGAAGTGTAACCAGGAGTCAAGTTTAAGAACAAACAGCAGACACAGTTGTTCACATCTATCTACTTCATCTATGGAGCTCCTTGCCATGAGGTGTACAGGACGCCAAAAGCAGAAATGGTTCAAAAAGCTATTAGATAAAATCATGAGGAAGTTCATGGGATGTTGTTAAATGTGGATGAAAGGTTGCAACCTCTGGCTCAGAATTTCCCTAAATCACAGATTGCCAGCAGCTGGGAGATATGCCATTGGGACTATCACTTTATTCTCACTCAATTTTTATTCCTTTTCCTGAAACATCTGCTACTGGCAGTGTCAGAGACAGAATCTTGGGCTAGAGGAAGCTTTTGTCTGATACACTAAGGCCATGTTCATAAAAGTCCAAATGACCTTTTCTAAGAAACATGGCTTTTTCTAAGAAAGAACTTCCTAGACTGTACTTTATTGCACCTGGGACATCCCATGCTAAAAGGTAAAATAACATTCACTATTGCAGGACACCTAAAAATAAAAGGGTAAGAGTAGCTCAAAGTAAGAGCTTTATCTATGACTTATTTCTTTTTTATCAACTCCGGTTAAAACATTAATGTTTCTTCTAAAGTAGAAGTATTTGTAATATTATATTACAAGAAGTCTGTCTTCATGTTGTATTTGTGTTGTCACTATTGATTTATGTGCTTTTAACTTATTAGTTTTAAATTTCTTGGAATGTTTATCAAGTCTTTAATGTAGTTTTAAATTTTTCCTTTTAGTGATTTTTAATCCAATTTAAATCATTTAATGATTTAATCATTTTATCTATCATTAAATAACATTTACCTCAATAGTTGTCTTGACTACATATACTTCTGTATTTTGGGTGGAAAAAATACAACTGAATACTTTAGATATCTTAAACGTAATTAATATTTTTTAAATCATAAATTCCAAAATTAATCACTTTGTCTCAGAATAAAATACTGTGTTCTGAAAAGGCACTTGCTTTTATTTGCGTAGGTACAGGCTTTCAGTATATTCCCAACCAAGAAAATGAAACACTTTATTTCTCCATAATGCAGCACGTACTTTTCCAGTGAAACTGACTCGTGATGTTAAAAATTTCTCTTCAGTGTGGCTCTGTGGGGTAGCAAATGTGTGCACACATGCACACGTTTAGAGAACAGTATACGCATTATTTCTGGCTATAAATAAAACTAAGAGAAATGGTTCAAACAAGTGCAAAAGAAAATAAAGAAACTAAAAGTGATATGGACAACTAAGATGATAATGCCCAGGATGCTCTGGAACAATAGATGGTGATTTGCACATAAGACTGGAGCAAACAAAATTAGGTTACTTTGAGGAAAGATACATTGCTTAATTTGACAGAGAGCTTTCCACACTGCATCTTAAGCCACACTACCCCTAGTGAAAAGGAACAGAAAAAACTGATTTACCTCTACTTATCAGACCACACTGGAGGATAAATACTACTTCACATTCCAACTAAAACTGTTACCTTTTTAAGCATAAGCAATGGGAAATTCTCTTTTATTTCAATCAACCTCAGCCTCCTTTCCCATTTGGCCTAAATTGCAACACTTGGTCTATACCACCACTTTTTTTTTCCTCTTTTTTTTTTTTTTTTTTAAAATTCTGCTTGGCCTCATCATGGGCCTCAAAGCATGAGTACTGGTTATTTATGCTTATAAAACAATTTGGGTAAGGTAACAATTATATTTTTGCTGACCTGCCACTGCAGTGAAACAAAAGCCACTTCTCCTCACCATGTCTGCTATACTAGCAAAAATCATGGACAACTCTCCAAGCTGCAGTAACACCAAACTTATTGTATAAACATTTCTCTCACACTTTAAGTGGGTTGGAAGTAGGAGCACAGGGAAGATTAAATGCCAGATTATTTTATGAAGCACTGAAATGCCTGGGTTAGCCAAAACCAGGGATGAGAAAATAGTCCAAAAGAGAAAAGTGATACAGTCGAAGATATTACTATGATTGCGTGTGTCAGCTGTAGGAAAAAGTTAACAAATTTACTGTGTGCCTTTATATTAGCTGCTCTATCTCTTATCATGCTACGTAGAAACTGGTAAAAAATTACCAGCCAAGTGTGAGTACCACTTCTGCTTTGCTGTTTTTATCCTGGGAGTTACCATGTGTATTAGTTTTCCATTAAAGATTGCTAGAAAACCATTAACATGTACACCTGTAGAATGAAATAGGGCTGAAGTACAGGTACCAGTAAGAGAGGCTGGATCTAAACACCACCTTCACTCACAAGGTTAAGCATCTTTCTCTAGTTCAATGTGTGTGTGAGATTTCAGCCCTCAAAAGCAACAAATGGAGAAAATTTAAAGATCCCACACCTATTCGGACACAGTGCCACCATTTCCATCACCTTCAAGTTGCCTATATTTAAGCCTACTTAGGTCTTTAATTTTAAAGCATTTACCTTTCGTTTGTTTCCCATCCTGATCCAGTTAGTTTGGGAGGCAGTGCCATATTAAAACAGCTGGGATTTATCGAACATATTCTTTTTAACACAGGTTCAGTGTAATCAATCCCAGATGCTCAACAACTAAAGTTACATATAAAATGTTCATAGGTTTTGGCCAAAATCAGATTCAGCTTCCCATACCTTAAATACGGAAGTTCTTTAAATAGATACGAGTTAGATTTAAGTCATTTATTAAAAATCCAAAACAAAACAAAACCAAAAAGAAAGAAAGAAAGGAAAAGATTGGAAATGAAACCCATCTTATCAAAAGTACAATTGAGTTAGACAAGTTAGATTAGTTTATATGCCATTTTAGGCTGGATTTTCAATCTTATCAGTGATTAAATTTGCCCAAGAC